CGCAACTGGTGTACCAGGCGAACCTGGGCAAATGCCCCCGTGGTCACAGCTGACAAATGAGACAAAAACTTTTCCCAGGAAAGACAAAAACTGAGTGATTGTTTCTTTCCTACTTTTCTTTGGCAATATCCAAATCTAGCCGGTGGCTCTGCAAAGCTTCCATCATATTCCCCATCTCAATGTGAGCATTTCCAATGCAGCTGTAAAGATTTCCAACCAGCTCACTCCTGTTGGGAATTTCATCATCGGACCAGCTCTGGATTTTTTTCAGTACTTGCTCAGCTTTCTGGAAACTTCTTTCAGGGCAGCCACTGGTCAGCACTTAAAAGAAAAACTCTGCATGAATAAATATGCTAATCAAGCATGTATGCATAGAAACAATGCACAGAGATTCAGCACGATCATATAAAATACTTATTTATCAAATTTTTCTCAGTAGTTTGAACATAATAGCTGATTTAGGTGGTATTAAAAAGAAACTAGATACATTCATAAAGGCAGGACAATAAATAGCCATTATATTTGATTCCTGTATAACTCTTAAATCATGAAATATAGCTCAAATATCAGCAAGAAAAATCTTAGATACTTCCATGCATTGCTTATAATTTTAGATTATATGTGGCTTGTAATGAAGCATTTACTGAACTTGTGCATCAAATTGTATTATTCTTTTTTTTTTTCCCTAAGTAAAAAGCCCTCCCAAATCCCTCCATGCGTGAGAACTTCATGAACAAACTTGGCTGGGTAATGAGTGACACCGAATGCTAAATTATAGATGAACCAGCAGAGTTTCTCTTATATTCTTAAATTTGCCAATGCCAGAAAATGTCAAAAGAAATTCAGATAATACCAAAAACTCAATTTTGGAATCTGTTACTATTAGCAGAAATACTTTTTTTCCCTAAAGTCAATTATTAGAGCTCTTCTTCAAGCAATAAAAAGNCTGAGCCGGTGAGATTTGAACCGCTGACCTGCTGATCTAGCAGTAGCCTGCAGTGCTGCATTTAACCACTGCGCCACCTTGGCTCAAGCAGAAGCTCTGAGTCTGGAAGAACTCCTTCAGTCACAAACCTATAGCTGAACAGGTAATGCCTGTTCAACAGGGATACCACTTGGTACCTAAGAGAATTCCAATGTACAAATAGAAACTCCATTTTGCTTGGGTTAAATCTGAACTGTTGCCTTCCATCTGGACTCTTACAGCCTTCAGACACCAGGATAAAACTTTAATAGCATTTTCCCCACAATTCAAGGTACCAATAGATATATTAGTATTCTTAGCACATTAACGCAACCACATCCAAAATTGTTGGATGACCTCTTAGTAATTTCTTACAGATACTAAAAATCCAGCAGTGGGGGGGAAATATCAATCCTCATAACTGAAGGACCATCAAGCTAGCTTCTGTTCCTATACCACAACTGACTAAAACCAGGAAGGAAGGAATGGAACTCTGGCAAAATATGTTTGCCTGGAATATTCTGTAATCAATTTGGTACATACACCAACCTTTTAATTCACGCATCCTCTCAAGTCTCTGTTCTTCTTTCAACTCTTTGATGAACCCTTTGTTGGCTTCATCCAAAGCCTGGTAAAAAATATAGTCTGAATGCTATATAAATCTTCAGAAAAGTTTTAGGAGATACTCTCCCTGCACATTTAGTTTCATTAGTGTACAATTTAAACATTGAAGCATTGTCATAAATATGTGTACTTGTAAAATATGATTAACCAGGAAAAGCAAGGGAATTGGAGTTGGAACCCTCTTTTGTTTCTTTAAAGACAGTGGCACAAGGAAATTCACATATGTAATTCAAACCTAGTTATCTGGCATCTTCCAGTCATCAGAAAGTTGTCAAAAGACTCTGATGGTCCTATGAGTGGAAAATTGGGGAAACAATTAAGTGGCTGGATCAGGTTACTTGTGCAGTAGATGATCAGAAATGGAAGGAAAATGTAGGAGCTCTTGACGAATATGGGTCCCAGCCTTACTGATTTTTTAGAACAAAAGAAGAGGTCTGTTGAGTTCTCCAACAATAGCCAGCCAGCAATTTCAAGAAATTACAAGCAACCTATGAAATCACTTCTTATCTATCTATATCCCAATATTTTGCTTAGTTTCATGTGTAAAATATTACTTTTCTCCAAATACAAGAAGTCCTCAATTTACAACCACAATTGAGCCCAAAATTTATGTTGCTAAATGAGAAATTCATTAAGTCCGTTTTGTGACATTTCTTGTCACTTTCGTTAAGTGAATAACTGCAATTGTTAAGTTAGTAACCCAGGTTGTTAAGTAAATTTGGTTTCGCATTGACTTTAGTTGACAGATGGTCACAAAATGTGATCACATGACCTCAGGACTTTGAAACCATCATAAATATGAACCAGTTGTCAGCATCCGAATGTAAATCACAAGGGGGTGCTGCACCAGTAATAAGTGTGAAAAATGGTCTTCAGTCACTTTTTTCAGTGCTGTTCTAACTTCGAAGGATCATTAAATGAACTGTTGTAATGCAAAGATTACTTGTATAACTAATTCTGCATTTCCTTCCATTTTTAGAATCAAAGATATTGTAGCACAATGGAGGGATGTTTTTGCTTTCATAATAGCTTTTCCTCATGCCTCCTGTGATGATCTAGATTTACTATCTTCCCAAACATGTCATGTACTATTTTACTTTTTCAATCTCATAGCAGCAATAAGCTGCACTTTGGAAAGTCCCAACTTATCTTATCAACTTATCATGAAAATAAATCATTGGTCCTAATCCTTCCTGCAATTTTTTCCCAGCCTCCATTTTTGTATTACTTACAATGATGATTGCCTGCTGAGCTGCATCATTGTGGATACGTTTTGCCTTCTCTAGAGCCTTTTCAAAGTATGTGACTGCAGACTGAAAATCCTCCAGTTTCACTGTGAATAGAAAAATTTACACATGTAGTGTTCATGTGACACATTTCCAAACTATTACTGTGTACGGTGCAGGAACAGGATACTAAGTTTTTACTGCCCAGGATTTAGTATTTAATTTTTAATATCACTGACGATTTTACCCTTTTGTATAACAACAGAGTTCATTAGTTCAAATTCTTTTGAATGCAGGAATTAAAAGCAATTGTCTAGGTGTTTAGCTGTCTCTCTTCATCCTTTTAAAGTTTAAGAGATCTCTATGTTTTCAAGACATAGAAGCAATCCTGTAGTTTTAAACAGCAATCTGAGTTGGATCTATTTGTATTTTAACAGTGAGCATGAATATGATTGTCAATAACTTGGCTAACTGAAGTTGCTGAATTGAATAATAGGTAGCAATTTTCTCTACCACAACAAGCTAAATATATCTGTAGAGATTATCTTATATAATGAAGAATGGAGAAGAAGGAAATCTGCTATGTAAAAGAGACCCAGTTCAGCCAGTAAAGATAAACATTTTTGGGTGTAAATCTTATGCAAAGCAACTTACCCTGTGCCTGTGCCACCAGTACCCCACCATTGAGCTGCCACTCAATATCTCCCTCTTCCTCCGCGCACTGCAAGGACTTTTCACCATAATCTCGAGCTTCAGCTGCTTTGTTGAGTTCTAGGTAGCATCTGCCAATTTCGTGGAATAGCCAAGTTTTCTCCAAATTACTCTTCATAAGAGGAATCTTTTCCTCCCAGCTTTGCAAAAAAAGAAATGTAAAGATTTATTAGCCTTTAAAAATATTTTTCTAGACTCCCATAAAGCTTCTGCCAAGCCCAAAACAGTAACAGTATAGTCAACGCTCCTAGGATCAATCCCTGATTTCCATTTATACAATCGTAACCCATCTCTCAACTTTCCTAAGGGTGAATCCTGACATTCAGAGATTAGACATTGCGATTAAAATGGTGGGGCCTTACAGTGGGGCAAAAAAGTATTTAGTCAGCCACCAATTGTGCAAGTTC